TCTCGTCCACCTCGGCGGCTGCACCGGCTTTGACTCGGAGGTGTGAGGATACCGAAGAGCTTTTAAAACATTACTTGAAAGATCAAAGGATTTCTGTTTAAAGATCAAAGCATGAGGGGTGTTTCGGAATCTACTGCTCACTGGAAATGGATTGGGGAGTTTTTTTTTGTTTCTTTAATGTACTTGGCTTTAGAAGGCGCACAAGGAGAGCGCTGCCCGGAGTGGAGGGACGGTCTTGGGTTTGTTTGAAAACCGTGCTGCTGTGTTGCAGCCTCTGCCCCTGGCTTTCAGCAGATAGCACTCCGCGGATCGCAGATCCCCAGCTGAGGTGCGGACCAGAGTCTGACTGTTTGGAATCAGCCCTGATGAGACGGAAGCCGGGACGGCACCAGGCCGCAGCCTGGCAGAGTGACTCAGGTTTCCCTCCCGAATTCCCTGGCGCGATGGGCTGTCTCGATTACTCTGTGCGCGCCTCAGCGCCGGTCACAGAGCCACGCATCAGTGTTCACGGGAACACGACACCGAAGGGAGGCCAGGCCATCGCCCGCCAGTCACACGGCGACCTGGCCCGAAGGCACAGAGGGAGCTACGCTGGGGGAAGGCACTTAAGTGAAAGGGAATCCACCGCCCGCCCGCCCGCCCGGTGAAGGCAGAGGCAGCAACCAGGACTGCTTGACCTTGAAACGGGAGAAAATGAGAAAATCGCCCGGCCGGCCCCGCCCATCCCAGCACCCGTGATGAACAGAGAGAGACAGTCCACGACAAGGGTGTCCTTGCTGTGTATCAGACTACACAGAACTTGGAAACTCCACGTTTTCAACAAACATACTCACTTTTTTTCTTCCTTGCCATAATACCTAAAACATTACAGGACACCCGCTCACCTCACACCAAGGAAGAAAAAAAAAATTAAGGGGAAAAATGTCTGTCATCGTACATGACATTTTAGGCATTTGTTTGTATTATAGCTGTAAAGGTAAGTGGACACAGGTAGATTTTCTTCCACTAGCAAAAAGAAACCCGTGTGACTCACACTTTAGAAATAAAGAGGGGAAAATATTACCAAAACATGGGGAAAAAAGGAATTTTCTTCCATTTAGCGTCTCATATTTTAGACGCGCGCTAACCGTATGCGTGGCAGACTAGCCGGCACAGGGGACAGCAGGCCACCCTGCTTCCTGGCGGGGAACAGGCACGCGGCGGGGAAGGCGTTCCGACCGACCCAAACAGTAGCGAGTGTCTCGTGCCGACGAGGTGCACAAACAACTCCTGGAGAAAAGCACTCCTTCAACAAGGGCAAACTAAAATCAAGACAAACATTTTCATTAGTTACCTAAAGCCTTGTCTTACTTCACTCTACTTTCCGGATATCGAATCCTCTGATCTCACCTTTCCTTGTTATCAACTCCACAGGTTAATTTCGGCAGACGAGGTTTATTAACGCAAAAGTACAGAAGCACGTCAATGAAAATTTAATGTTTAACAGAATCATGTTTGGGACTAGACAAGTTCAATAACATGCGAGGGTAAAGTATTTTATTGAATGAATAAGAGAAATACAGGGAAACTTAGAATCTCTAGCTACCATTTCAAAATTGTAATTGTAAATTTGGCACAGAGGGTTTTTAAGAACAACACATGACGATTTTTTGTTCTCTTTTTCTATGACTACATTCCTAAGAAAAAGTGCTGGAATATTTGCCAGTACCTTGGACCTACGTTTTATGACTCGGCGGAATGTCCTTTGAGGGGCCCTCAGGAGTGCGGCAGACCCGAGCCCCCTGAGTCAGGGATGCCGAGGGTCGCGGGTGCCGGGGCTTGGCTGGCACGGGAGGGCAGGAAGGGCTGTGGGCAGTCGGGAGCGCCCGCTCCGGGCCTCTGCACCTTTGCATGGGTCTCTCCGTCCATGATTCTACGTTAGCTCTATCGTTAAGCACTGAGATGAATTGCCCTCTCCCTAGAGGCTCCATGACAGCGGTGACTGTCAGCATCTCTCTGGGCATCTCTCTGTGGCCACTTTCAGCAGGAGCCAACACACTAGCACCAGCCTGCCAGCCCGTCTGACGCTGCAGGGCCACCTTCCTGCCTCACGGCCACCTCACTGGACCTAGGTGTTTTCAACCAGTCGGTCCACAAACACTTACAGAGCTTCCGCTATGTGCCAGGCTGACAGCTAGAGAGATACACAAGTAAACTGAGACATCGGACAGGAGTGAGGAAGAAGGAATTGGAAGGTGCGAGAAGAGACAAAAATACTCAGGAGGCTCAAGGAGGGGTCTACACAATCTTCAGAAGGAGGAACCCAGCCGAAGAAGTCTCCACCCTCCACCCCTCCTGGACAGCAGAGTACACAGGAATCTAAGCAGGTGTGAAGGAAGCAAACAAAGGTGGTAAGAGAACAATTGTGAGCAGCTCTCAGGAGGCCAAGCAGGACAGCAGGACAGCGTGGTCTCTCTGCAGAGAGCAGCAGCCACCATTATCTAGTTTGCAGATGGACCACCCAGAGAATCTGGGAGCAATTAGGAGGGAGAAAAACAAGGGGGGTGGTGTTGCCGAGAAGGATTAGTAGCGCAGAGCCCCCAAACTGTCTTCTGGCTAGGAGTCCCAAAGTGTCACAAGACACTGGGACTAGAAGAAACTACAATGAAATTTACAAAGGGACCAGAAAACGGATTTTTAAATGTAGAAGGCAGGAAAGCACATTTAAACTCTAGTTATTTTTTTGGTATCTATCTGAACATTTAAAAGTGAATTTTAAACAGGATAAGTGAATTTGTAAAATTATGTTCTTTTTATCAACAAAAAGCAATGACTGCTTGTGCTGTCTTTCAAGGCTGACAGCCCACGACTTCTGTCAACACCACGATTCTCCAGCCAAACCGCAGCCTAGCGCTGACCTCTGCATTCCCTCCGCGGGTCAGGCAGCATGCTGCCTCGTACACGTACACGCTATTCCATAAGCTCTAATCCCTCCCAGGGGTATTAGCCACCTTCTAGGACAGAGGAAGAGGCTCGTTACATGAAATATCCTGCATGAGGTCGCACAGGCAGAATTCTCCAGATGACCACCAAATGCATGTGGCCCTCCAAGCAGAGTGGGGTGGGCTTCCTGTGTACCACCTGATCTCTGCCCAAAATGCACTCTCGTTAGTTCTGTCCATTCAAGTCCGTCACATCCTCAGAGTGCTGCTGTCCGTCTGTCCCCAACACGAAGCCCTTCCTGATCATTCAGGCCAGATGACCTCCTGGGCCACCGCCTCTTCTAAATGTCCTTCTTACCGACCCCATGTTCAGGGCTGTTTTCAGAAGCTCACAGGCCAGAACGAGACCCTGTCCCACGTTAGAACAAGTTAGAGTGCGTTCTCATACCACGGCACACGCAATTTTTCCTGTAAGATGTTTGAAAGGAATTTTAGAATTTTGCTCTGAAATTCTCATTTTGCTGAGAGATAACATCAGCTCGCTCAGCAAACACTGTGTCTATATTTGAGAATTCTTGAAATATAGGAGAGCCTGTAAGCTCTTTCTAAATAGGATAAAACTTATGGGGCTTAGGAAGCTTACCAGTTAGTAAGACTGATATGCCTTTTATAGAATTTTAAACATTTATTAATTTGAATTTGCAGGGGTTTCCCACTCCCCGATTTCTGGAGCCTATGAATATGTTTTTTTCAAGTCTCAAAGAATGTCGTAGGTCCTTGAAAACTCAGTAGGTGCTGAGCTCTGTGCCGCAACAGAACAGCCCCGCGCGCACCGCGGCCAGGTGCCGCCTCGGTACGCACAGACCTAACGTAAACCCCGCCTCCCGCGCCCACGAAGTCACAGTTTTAAGCTCACTGAAGACAGCTATTTTTGTCTTGTTGACTAATGATTTTTCTGCAGTGACTAGCAGGGCTACTGTACAATGAATGCTTAATAAACTCACTAAAACAAGTAACTCATCAATAAGCACAAAATCCACAACTTCAATCCCTTTCCTAAAATATCTATTTGAAATTATACTTTGAAAGCCTCTCAAAATGCTTGGATTCTCTTTCTGTAAAAA